GAAAAAATGGGGATTAAGTTCAGCAGAGGGCCGCCGGTGAGGATTGTGGGGCACAAACATTGTGGGCGGGGCCTGCTCCGAGGTGGGCGGAGTCAGACGAAGAATCTGTAAAATAGCTCAAGAGTACTTCAGACACCGGAAAAAAGTGGAGTACAGAACAAAAGGCGGATATCAGTTGAGTCTAGAAATATGTGAAAGAAAATACGCGCGGCGAAGCCGCGCCCGCCCGGCGCAGCCGGCGAGCCGACTGGTGTTTAATAATTATGTAAGCGCACTTATTCTGCCCTTGTGCCTGTGGTTCTGCACGAGCAGCGCTGCCATCGCTTCCGCTGGGTTTCGTCGTGGTGCGTGGGCTTGAGCGCTCTTAGGGATTTTTTCAGGAAGCTGGGGTGGAGATTGAATCGAAAGCCTGTTTTGTGTAGCTGCTTATATAGTTTTGTTTTAATGATACGCTTACCACAGGTACGTTCACGTATCGTTTGAAAGGGTTCCGTAACCAGCCGACAGACCATTATCTCAGAACGATTTTCAAAGAGTACGAGGAGCACGGAGGGCATTGCCTTGGATCAGAGCCTCTCTATAAGGTATCCGAGTCCTAATTCAGGAAGTGCACTTTTGAGCAGTACTTTCTTTTTCTTTTTTTTTGTTATTTCTTATTACTGCTTTGTGATATGTTTCAAGTTGTAAACCTGACGGCTACTAATTTACAGTGGCATGCATTAGAGACATACTGCTTCCGCTGGTGGTGGAGTGCTAAGGTGTGGACCACTTATTAACCACTCCACGAATCGGTACTTCTGTAGTTGACAGGGGCTTTGCGTGACGTGATAAAGTGCGCCTCGCGCTCGCTCCCTGTGATGTGGTCCTCCACCCTCCCCACCTCATCCAAAAAAAATAAACGCGGCATGGAAAGAGCCCTACATATTCACTATCACATGCGAGGCAGCGAAGTAAATAAGTAGGGGAAACGGGCCGTCCTTTTCGCATACGGGTTAAAGAACATTTGGACGGCTTACGAAGATCACAAGTCCGGACGCCACTTGGTTGCCATCGGGTTGAGTATCATGGAGATGTCGAATTCCAGGTAACTGTGTCCATCCTGGCACAGGAGCCTGAAATCGCTGCGCGAAAAACCTTGGAAGCGTTGTGGATTTCAGCAAAAGACCCCAAATGAACAGGAGAGAGGAATGTGTAGTCATAACACGTGAACTCGCGCCCTTCGCCGACCTATGTGGTTTTTGATCTACAATGAGGTCGAGGTCGGAGTGGAGGTGTAAGCTCATTGTTAGTAGTACTACTGCAGCTTGGGTGGTCGATCTCACGTCATCGCGGCTGAGATCAAGGTAAGCCAACTCACACTTATCGATCTATACCGTTAAGTGGTTTGCTAGGATATCGAAATAGTCTTATGTTCTTGTGGGGCGTTCGAGGGAACAATCTCAATTGTTTTGGACTCTTCAGGCCCTGACGAAGGCGAGGAAGCCGAAACGTTGGCCAATAAATTATAAAAATCTTGGACGGCTCAAACTATCCACCTGCTTGATTATCTGATACATAGGGATTATCATTGATATATCCCTCTCGTTGTTTGCACTGTAGTCTGTTGTCAGTTTTGTGGTGAGGTTCATTCATTCTTCTTGTGCCTTCTGCCAATAAGCCCCTTCGCCTACTGTTGCTCTCCAGATACAACGACTACACAGCTACAACACTGTCACCCACCAGCGAGGTTCCTGTCGCACACCCCATATCATATATTGGAATAAGTAGCATATCATACTATTGAGTAAACCTACGAATTGATTGTGACCACAGCAGTACGCTGGTGATTTCGTGACAGACCAGACTGACTAACGGAGGCAGTGCGAGCAGCAGACACACAAAAACACACCACAAACCACAAAACCACAACGACGCGCAACATAGCGACTATGCGTTGAGTAGGATGTTCTTGAGGGTCTCTGGTTGTCATTAAAGACACATTGTACGCTCATACACATTGAGGTGTATGAGCACTATCGCCCCCACATTCGTATGTGTCGTGGTCCCCGAAACCATGGCCCGAGGAATGGAGACAACTGCAGGCGTGAAACACGGCTAGTGCTTCATGCGCTCGCCCCTGCCTTTTTACGGCGCGCATTCCGCCCGCTCATTAGCCACCCGGTCGGTAAGACCGCGCCTTGCCGCGTGCGGCTCCCTTAGCACTGTTGTCAAGTACTTTATTGCGCCTCAAATAGAAGGAAAACGGAGATTCTTGATGCGACAATCACTGGAGGTGCTGCAAATGAAGTAACAGAGATGATCGAGGGTCATAACTTAAAAGCCAACTTGTACCTACTTCTGGCAACATTCCTCGGGAGCGCCACGCTATTTTCCTTATGTATTTCCACGAAACGAAAATAAAAACGGCATACTCGTTAGTTTAATAAAGCAAAAGGCAATTTCCTGATGCGAATAAAATTTTAGGTGTTGCTCATGCTTCAAAATCCATGTACAAGGAGATGAAGCACTGACCACAGGCTAGAAAGAAGCACAACGATGTAAATGTAAACAAAACAAAAATGAAAAATCAAGGAAAGGCAAATTAGATAAACTGGCCTGTAAATTTCTACGATCCGGCGCCAAAGCCATAGAAATACTTAGAACAAACGAGTGGGACGCTTGGATTGTTTTTATTCTCATGTTTTCTGGGAATGCGCGGCCTCTGATGGATTCTGCGGATGCAGCCGAGTTGCTCTTGAGTTCTGGCCCTCGTCATCATCTTCTGTTCTTATTTTGCAGCACCTCCAGTGTTGTCCGCCAGCCAAGAAATGGCCGTTTTCCTTGTATTCTGAGAGCGCATTAAAGACTGGCCAAGGAGCCTCGGCGCGCTTACGACGGATGTTATGAACGGCGGGAATCTGCGCCGTAAAAAGGCAGTGGGCGGAGCATGGAAGAATAGCGTGTTTCACGGCCCTGTATCTCCATTCCTGGGCATGTTTGGGCGGGGGGACCACGACACATCGACATCTGGGGGGCTGATAGTCTCATACACCCTCAATGTGTATGAGCGTACCATGTGTCTTTAAGTGGCTCCTGTCATTAAGAATTGCCACATTATATTAATACTGAATTAAGTAATGTTTATTTAATTTTCTTTTCCTGTTAACAAATTGTTTTGCTTTTCAGTCGTGGTTTCGATATGCTCGAGAATTTATGAACGTCTACAGTGATATGCCTCGTTTTCTGCTTATGCACCAAAGTCTACTATCTCACGACGACATAAATTTGGTGCAAGTGGAGGATGAGCATCTCGCACAAGTGCTCACGTCTATGCATAAGAGCGGTACGCTTAACACCTATGGACCATTTGCTCTTTTAAGCCATAGTGCGGATGATATAGTTGCAATCGTTCGCGGCGGTCTCAAGAAGATTGGAAGGAGTCCACCTGTGTCATACCCACGGTTTTTATTCCGAAATTGGTCGACTAAACCGCAGTACTTCTGTCATTGGTAAGCAGCAGACCAGTCCCTTTTCGCTGCTCCTAACCACTGCAACGGGACGTTATCAACAATACTAAAGGCATTTAAGGAGAGACGCTCAGGACTGTGCTCGCCTGGTTCGCAGGCATTTAAGTCTTGTAGTGAATATGCGTCAGCAGCTTTGTGGGTCGAGAGACATATCACTTTCCTGCCAACATTAAGCTGGACAAAAGCACGCGACCAGGTTGTCGGCCTTGAAGTCCGCCTAGCCCATGGAATTGCTCCGCCCGCTCGGGAGAATCTGCCAGCCGATTCTGGCTCATAGTGCAGGGTGTTAGTCCATTCGTGCGCGGGCGTTTTCTGCGGTCTCCTAACTACCCCTTCTACGCGGAATGTAAGGCATTCTGCTTTCCTTGAATGTCTAAGAGACGCATGCAAGGAATTTATTTTGCAAGATAGGGTGCATTTGGCGTTGCCCTAATTCACCGACTATGCAAGTGCATTGCAAACTTCCTCTTGTCATTTTATGTTTTTTCCTCGGCACAAGTTATACTGGATATGCCTAAACAATGGTTTGTTGGACCATTCCTAGGCATCATCCAGTTACTATCATTGTCTATTGTAATGGTAAGGATATGACTTTGTTTTTGCCATTTTTTTTCTTTACCTTGAGGGACTCTATGCATTCCTTGGTCAAGTCCGCAGAAGTCGCGCAATAGATTCCTAAGGGACTCACTTCGCGAATATAGGTTCATGATTGAACATTAGCAGAGTATGCAGTCGGCCGGAAGGCAGCCCTTAACTGATCTTCCGTTTATTTTGTTGTTAGTTATATTATGTTAGGTGGCTGGACAACTCGTTCAGGAGATTTTATTGGGCTGACCACGGCCATCGTTTCGCTATAATTGAGGGAACCCATCAACGGCGCACTCGAAGGAGTGTGGTTGCAGTAGGCTGTTTTTCTGAATTTACAGAGCAATTTGTTTAAAATACAGTGCATTGCTCTGACGAATAGGCATAGTAGATGCAGATTTGTGTCACCCTCGTTATCTTCCACCTTTGTCCTGCGTGCGGCCATTATCCGGGTCGAGTGGTTAACTTTTTCAGGATTTGCCGTTGTTCTCTATTGGCATTACCGGCGGGCCGTTCAGAGCAAACAGCAACACGGCTTTAAAAAGATGCTACGAAAATTTGAAAATAATAAGACAGCGGTGAGCGATGTTTGTAATAAGTGATATTGATAGGTATCGTCTTCGCAGTGTGATAATAAGGTGACAACGAAGCTTCCAACTACCCTTACTGATTCTTTTTCCTTCCTGCGTTCAGGGACGGTCCGAGGGAAATTTCGAAACAACAGAGGGATTCCAACGAGCAGATTTTTCTTCAACATAGTTGTGTTCCTTCTTTTCAATGGTTGCAACTGTTCCGTTGGAACAAGCCCCAACGAACTGCACATTCCCTACTTAACACAAATTCTTAACTTCTAATTGCAGACCTAGTCTTACGCAAAAGCTGGTGTCACTGCCGAATTATATTCTCGCATGCGTATATGACATGTGCTGGCGTTGGATGAGTAGATCTGACTAGCAACGCGCGGGCGAGGCATTCACATTGTTCGTTTACTTCTACTCTATTTTTTCGTTCAAGTTCTCCTGCATAATTTACATAGTTGATTCAAAAGGGTCTTGCGGCCATATCTTTTCTATGGACAAGAGTATGAGCGGTTCATCTGCCTTGAGATAATTTTTCCAAGGTTTATGACTATTCGCCTCGGCAGTCCACGGAACAGTTCTCGAAATAGGTAGATCTGGTATCTGGTTTAGGTGACACCTCCCCCGCCCCTGCGCACCAGCCCGCTTGATCACTCGACAGCAGTTCTTTTTTCAGGGGGGGGGGAACAGAATTTTTTGGGGGAATGGAAAATTAGTGGAAAAATGATAAATCGCTGTGAGGTCGGGAATGTCATTGGTGGTAAAATGACAGGACGTGCTCTGGTCGGACTGATCCTCGTTCTGAATGTGAATCGTAGTTCTTCACTGGTTGTGTGCCCTGTTAATTACCTACAGTAGACACCTTATTGTAATAGAACATCTGTGACACCTTAATGGAGCGGACAAATGAAGAAATTTCCCAGCGAATGAATCCATTTCCATTTTCTGGTGTGGAACATAATGTATGTTTAAAAGGCACATGAAAGAAAGCCAGAGTTATGGACTAGTCATCTCGAAACAATCACGTTATATATTCTATGTTTTACATATCTTTTTACTAGTGATTCTCCAACGGCGCAATCTGAAGATACGGGGGAGGGTGGGCATACACAGGCGATATGGCTTTTTTCGGTTTCAGTTAATTCACTTGTATTCAGGCTTTCGACTCCTTTTGATATTTATTCGACACTTATGGACGTTCTGCACTTACCAAGCGATTTGACAACAGTTCAGGATACAAACAAAAGATCTCTATCTCTCTTCCGCCCTATTTCTGAAGACAGAACCTGTGCACAAGTTCGTCACATTTACCTTCTTGCATTACTTTTGCTTGTTGCCCAAGATCATCGTGAGAACTGAGTGTCTTCTTATGTGAAGACAGCGACCACGATCAGCCAAGGTGCAGAAATCCTCTAGCGTAGATGGCGGGGTCCGCAAACAAAGAGGATCTCCTACTCTTGCGACTTGGAAGCGCTTGATAATCTGAGACGGGCTCAGCTATGAAAAACTAGCTATGCTTTGGCAAACTACTTCCTCCTCGCACGATTCCTTTTATCAAGTCTCGTTGGCGGTAACTGGATCTTTCCAGAAAAAGCTCCCATCAGACATGCCTTAGAGAATGAGTAGCAGCGAGGTGGCTGCGCTAGATTAAGAGAACTCGCCCAGACTTTGGTTAACTCGTCCGTTTTCAATTCCGTTCATGAGTCTTATTTGGGGCTTTTTCGACGGTTTCCTGCGTTTTTTTCCTCATTGGGGTCTTGCTTACCACAAGCTCCAATGGTTCTTATCTCTACAATCTGTGAAAGGCAATTTCGGACATTGCCTTTAAAGGCAGTTGGCACGATAAATCCCCCAAGACGACTAGGATCAATACTCCTGGCAGGATAGAATTCCGCGACCCTGGGCAGGCGCTGCATAGCGGTTTCCCCTTATAAGGGCCCTATCAAGCCACAACTTTACGTCCCAAACGCCCGCCACGCCCGCCCGCCCACAAATGGACGACCGTTCCTGACGCTCGTATTCATTCATTTGCTAAGCAAATTATGAAGCGAAGGGATTGGTATGAAGCGGCCGTGATGCTGCATGCATACATGGGTACACATATGCAGCCGTATCTTCGGTAGCGGTGATTGGTAAGATGCCTAAAACTCGTCCGAAATCGATTTACAAGTCACTGAGAACGGAGGCTTTTTCTTCGCAGGATTTTGACCGTTTCACTCCGTTCTTTCGCCATTTCCCCACTATACAGCGCCCTACTAGCATTTTAGGCTAAGTAGGAAACCATCGTGCCAACTGCCTTTAAGAGTGTAATGTACGTACTTTTTGCTGTAATCTAAAATGAGCGTTGCATGCGGCCAAGCTTTAGACGAACAGTCACCTCCAATTAGTTTTAACTTTATCGAAAGCCGAAGAACTCGGTGTTGTTAGCCTTGAACGGTGGCATTCAGTCGACACTTTGTGCAGAACTAGAATTACCGGCATCAGTTCAGAAATACCATTCCTAAAATAATTTCGCCATCCTGGGTTCCTCCGCTTCAAGCTTAGGCAAAATCATCTTTATTACAGTAGTTCTAGTTTGGCATGAGGATGTTTTTTTGAGGCCCTCGAAACAGTTAGCGCCGAAAACTTTTAAGCGTTAGAACGTGGCCGAACGTTTTGATTTATGTTCAACACGAATCAGCCTTGTTTTCAGGCTGGTGTTGAACCGCACTGGTGCACTTGTCTAAATTGGCAAGACTCTTTGACTACATATGGTGATCGAGCTATAGCAGAGGAACTCGCCCTTGCTATTGTGGAAGTGATTAACCGGCAGTTAAAGAACGTGTTTCACTTGTGTGCTAAATTACACCTGAAGGAAGTTATTGAAGCGAAAAAGTAAGATCTACCCTTCCATTTTGTGTGCATCCAGCTATAAATGTCTACATGTTTAGATTAGTACCCAATGAAGGATTGCTCAAGTACAAGAATGTAAAGGACAGCGATGGTTTTGTCCCTGATTTGAGTGGTAATACCAAAGCAGCCTTTGCACACTATCAGATCAAATTACGAACACGTCCAGGGAATGCAATTTATGAGGTTGGTCCACGCTGTAGTAGTTGTGAGCTGTTGTGCCTGTTTTCTTTGGGGAGGTACCACGTTCACGTTTTGTGTACTTGGTTACAGGTTTTTCTAGGAAGGCAGTGGTACTTGGCCCATAGTTTGACTTACTTAAGGCACTCCATTAATCAGACGTGTATTCGAGTATCCCTACGCTTCTTCATGGCGAATACAGCGCCAAAAAATGGAACAAGCCAAAAAGCCGTTTTTCATATGTTTCTAAGAGGTCGTCTGTGATTGAAGTTCTTTGGTAGCGAGGAGGGCAGTTCAAAAGCGAAATGTGTTTGGGTTGGTTGCGAAATGTGTATGGGTTGGCTGAGTCAATAGTGAGGGGAATAGCAAAAGAAACTTACGAAAGCCTTCCAAATAGGGCTGCTCTGAAGATGATGTTTCACAGACTTATTAGTTCTAGACATGCTTGGCAGCGATAAAGGTACGCCTAGGGAGTCTTGCGGGCAAAAACGAAAACCGTAGTTTAAAGAATTGTACCAATGCAACTGCATCATCGATGGATGAACTTGCGCCAAAACGCATAATGAGCTGTGAAAATGTCGGCAAAATAGCAGCAGTTGAGGACTTCCACGCTCTTATTTTTCATATTTGTGCTACAATTTTTCAACTTCCACTCTATGTTTATTATGTTAAGGTGACGCTGTTCTACGACTTCAAAATGAAGGAAGTGCACATCGATCTTGCCTCGATCAGTCACCCAAACAAATTCGGTGACGCACCACATTGTATTATAAATCAGAATTATTTTCTTGCATCTTATTGCGTCTGTCACGACAAAGTCTAGCTTCACGTTTCATCATGTTCGTTTCATGGTGCATGAATTTTTGGGTAGTGGGGGATACAGTGGATTATACCACTCTCTCCCTATATTTTATGGGTTTTTGAAAATTTTTCTATTTCTCTCCGGATCCTCGGTTATTCATATGAGATTTACTTGTCATGTTGTTATGGAAGTGCTTTCATACCTCGGAACGTGTTTTAGAAGCTAAAGGTGCCGTGAGTCATTTTATAAGCGGTAGCATAATACATTGATCCAGTCAGTTTCAGTCGGTCATAGTCAATTTTCTGTAATTTCCTTCAATTTTCTGCCGGGAACACCTTAGCCTATTTTTCTTTCACTCTTGCCATTCTTTCCAGAATATTCCTACATGGCAGTGCTTGAAAGTCTTCCCATTGTTGTACTCACTTGTTGAATTTGCTTGGTTTAGTAGGTACAAATTGTATATCACTGTTTTAAAAACTTCGCGGCTTGTTGCTTACATAATGAATATGTCACTTAAACTAGGATTATGATTCACAAGTAAGAGTAGAAATATGTGGTAATAAAAATTGGCGATAATTGGTTTTGAAGTGATATTTAGTGGAACGGTGTCAGAACGAACCTACGTTCCGTCAAATGTACTTTCCAGTAAAAGCATCCTTTTCGCAATATGGTCTTTTGTGATCACCATTCCGTCAATCAGGTTGTCCTTCGCAAAAAACCTCAGGAGTCCTTGTCAGTCTTCTGCTGGGAGTATGTCATTTGCAGTCGACGTCTATCCGACAAAGGAAGAAATAATTTCAAATGAGAGTGACCTCCAGTGCCAGCGATGCGGTAAAAGGTAGTGCTTCAACTCTTTTCTTGTACATTAAGATTCTTTGTGCATTTCTGGTGAAATAGGGGTTCCTTCAATCGAGGAGGCTTGCTGGTCCCTTCCACTGTTGTCTTTACTCTTTTTGGGTTATTTACACCACATGAACTGCATACCACTTTTGATTACAGTAACCATTAATGAAAGTGAAGTTTTAAAATTGTGCTGTCCCGGAGCCTCATTGCAATCTGAATGTTGAACACATAAAAGAGGCGCCAAAATTTATTGCGAAAGACTCAAAAGATTCAAAAGAATCCAAAAGTTTTCAAAAAATTTATTGTTTATAATTCTTCTTCGAATATTTCGGTGCCTAGCACCTTCTTCAGCGATCTGAAATACTACAGTTAGCCACTTCCAACCTAATCGTGAACCTTGCCTTCACTTGAAAAAGGAGTGAAGGCAAGGTTAACGACTAGGTTGGAAGTGGCTGAACTGTGGTATTTCAGATCGCTGAAGAAGGTGCTAGGCACCGAAATATTCAAAGAAGGAGTATAAACAATAAAATTTTTTGCGAAAACTTTTGGATTCTTTTGAATCTTTTGAGTCTTTTGCAATAAAAATTTTGGCGCCTCTTTTATATGTTTAACATTCAGAAAGCGAAGTTATGGAAAAGCTAAAATTTTGAGCATAAAGACTGAAACTACGCCCTCACCAGGGAAGTCCGCCAACTTACCATGGAACTTTGAATGGAGACCTGGGTAGATCGATAGAGTCTATAAGGTTATTTACAAATATAGATAGCAAAACTGCAACCTGCATTTCACAAGCAACTGAGCAGGTAAAGTTTGGTGCAGTAGGGTGGAGGCTTGGTGGTGAGCTGTGAAGCATAAGCGAGGAATCGCATACGTCGAATCGAGTCGTGGTGGTTCAGTGGTAAGGTTCGACGTTCGACGACTCGATTCGACGTATGCGATTCCTCGCTTATGCTTCACAGCTCACCACCAAGCCTCCACCCTACTGCACCATTACAAACTTTACCTGCTCATAAGTTGCTTGTGAAATGCAGGTTGCAGTTTTGCTATCTATATTTGTAAATAACCTTATAGACTCTATCGATCTACCCAGGTCTCCATTCAAAGTTCCATGGTAAGTTGGCGGACTTCCCTGGTAAGAGCTCTCAAAATCAGGAAAGATGCAAGAAGTG